TCTATGTCTGCGCAAGCTACATACTTGTTCTCTCGAAAACGCAACAGAATCGAAATTAAATCACCCTGTATAGCCGGTCCAACGTACTGTAAGTCATTTAATGACTTTCCCGTACTAGAGGCTGCGCTTCCATTGTACACGACACGTAGTTTCGTAGTCGTAGCAAGTGGCCGAAATACACCGTGATGCGGGAAAAAATAATTTGGGGACCCGTATGATGTGACACGACTCATGTGACCTAAGGTTTCATACTCATTTAAGAATTCCGAGTACAACTTCTTATACTCTGGATATCGGTCTAGCCGTTTCTCCAAAGCATAAAAACGTCGTTCAGCTTGTGCAAACGAATCACCCAACAAATCAGGTTCATATTTGAACGGTATGCGTACGCAAAACCTGCCCTCAGATGTGCGTTTCATAGTATGAAGGAAATGTTCTTCGCATGCACGCTCATCGTCACTGCGTGAATCAACTGGTTTGGCGCTAATAGGTAGCTCTTCGAGCTCCCAAAGCTGCGGACTTGTTTGTCTAAAGACGGCATATCTATAGATTCTTGTATGTCTAATGTTTGCGTGAAGTTACAATTGACATATTTTGAACTTTGTTTAGTATATCCTGATACTGAGCCTCCAATGATCCACCCTAACTTTGTGTTGATTAGATAGGGCCCATTAAGTAGGCGTATTTTTCCCGCAACTACCAAGTCCCAAAATCTATCAACGCCGATAAGAATATCGACTTTTCGGCTTTCATAGAATGTTGGATCGGCCAACGTAATGTTGTCAGGTATGTACTTAAAGAAATCTTTACGCAACAATGTATGGCCTGGTAAATTGTAAGTAAGCTCAGGCAGTACTAGACATTGAATGGGTGTGGTGAAGGTTTTATCCAATGAACGCAGTTCCATATCACAACGGTATTTGCTCTGCGCCACGGAATTACCTACCCTCGAATTTGTATAGTGGACTGTACTAATTGTAAACCTAACTTGTCACACAGCGATTGAGTAACTAAGCACTTCTCACTGCAATTGTCAAGCACTGCGCGCACTTGATGAAAGTTGCCATTTTTGTCGGATACTTCCACCAATGCAGTAGACAACAGACTTGGTTCCATAAAACTCGACCGTGTGTTCGTATTCATGTGCGTCTCATTCTCTACTTGGACTGAATAGCTCTGCGATTGAGCCGATCCACGCGAATGAGTAGAGTTGGAACTGTTGTCAGAGGGAACCGTCGCCTCCCGCGCCTCAGCTGCCGACTGCAAACTAACCGTAGCTTTATTTACTTGGCTCGCGTTTGCATGATCACAAATCAATGAATTATGTTTTTTAGTCTCGCACTTCCTGCACGGACCATACTTACAGTCGGTAGCCGTGTGCGTTGGGCTGTTCATACAGTTCTCACATAGGCGGTGTTTGCGAACAATCTGAATCCGGTCCTGGATACTAAGATCAAGGAATTTTTGGCACGAATACAGAGGATGCGGCGCACTACACAGAACACACAATCGTTTGCGTGTTTGATTATTTTTTGTGTTAGTATTAGTGCCCGTTTTCTCTGTAGCTATGTGACAATGAACCTTCTGCGCGACAGAATTGGAAGGTTTGTTCTGTGTGTTTTGCGTGTTATTCGTCTTGTGTGAAACCGAGTGTGAAAGAGTATCTAACATATCCGCCTTTTGTCTAAGAAATTTCACTAAATCATCTAATTTTATGATTTTAGAATCATCAGTCACTGATAAGGAACACTTATGTTGTTCCCACTCGCGTTCTGTGCTTTGATCGAGCTTGGAAACTATCATATAGATTATTAATGTGTCCCAATGTTCGGTACTTTTACCGAGCAATTTTAAAGCGCGTATATTTTTTAAGGTCACATCAATAAGTTTCCTTATCTGCGGCGATGATTCTTTTGTAATCGACGGCATGGTAAACAAAGACTTAACGTGCTTCTGAACTAAAAGTTTCGAATTATCGTAGCGATTAAGCAGAAGCTCCCATGCAGTGTCGTAGTTGTCTTCGCAAAACTCAATCGAATCAACAACTAACTGAGCTGAACCTTTTAAAGTCGACTTAAGGTAGTGAAATTTCTGTATTTTTGAAATTGATGGGCATTTATGGACGAGAGACTGAAATGTATCACGATACTCAAGCCAATGATCAAATGAACCGTCGAATTCGGGCAAAGATATGATAGGCAACTTAACAGACGGAGTTTGACCTGCACCAGACGAACCAGATGAACCGCTAGCTTTCTTATCTTCCTCATGGATAAGGCATTGCGCTTTGGCCAATACGGAATAATAATTGGACTCAAAGGTGTCGCGATACGCTTGTTCCTTCTCAGTATCGGCTGCCGATTCGCTCGCTAGAGTTTCAATTTTCTGTTGAATATCTTGAAACGAATCATACAAACTCTTAACGTTTGTAATACGCAGATTTAACTCTATACGCTGCTTTAGTGATAAAAGGTTGCCTAACTCTACATGACCTTCTAAACCCTCTACATGTTTCGTAAAATTGGTGAGACCCCTTTTTATAATACCCCTCTGGGCACTCAACTCTGTTTTGTCAGTCATTTTGGAGGAGTGTAGAAGTACTCACATTCAACGGTCGCAGATCACGATGGCTATTGCGGTTATACCTTTGATTCCAACACAATATCTCAAATTGAACGTGCAGCAGGACAACGCAATTTTAAGCCGAGATAACACAACACTGAAAATAAACGCAAACTAAAACACACGGAATAAAGGGAAATATGAATAAGAATGTATGAAAAATGGTTGGCACGTCAGTCATATGAGCGCTGCGTGATGCGTCTCTTTCTGACGTGGATCCTGCGTAGATCTATCTTCAACCAGTTCCTAGATCACGCTGTGATCTGGTTCCTCATCCATTCGTTTATTCCATCTGCGACATATATGTATAGGTCGCTGTTGCGCGTAGGTATATGTACTTTTACGGATTAAATAATCCGAGGCTCGAAGAGCCAAACAACTTATGTTGTAGTTTTTTTGTGTGTCTAACTACACATAAAGTCTGGATTGCGTAATATTTTATAAATATATTATTATAATACCATTTTCTCAAGAATTAACAAAATGAGTGCAGAAATTGAAGTCACGTCACAACGACATAATATCTATAGAAAAAACCAGCCAGGTCAGCTGTCAGTCCAAAGAGTTCTTGTGCTCGAACAGATGCCAAACATGGACGTTATCCTTGACGGAGGAAGAAAAGCTCTTAATATAGGAAAACACTACGGAAAATCTTGAGACCAACTCAGAATGAGCATGACACTTTTAGAAATAGAAAAACAGGGAGATAGAGAAAATCATCGCCCAATACCATCGGGGAGAGTGAAGCCGATAGGCTGCGCTGGCTGGATTGGCCACGTCGAGCAGATGGAAGGGGTCGGCCGACGGGCAAGCGTCGTATCGGACAACCTACGTATAGATATCGCTGGACTGACGAAATCTTATTTCCTGAAAATTTGCGAATTTCACTTGATCTAATTAGTGTCTTTATTTCTCCAATTTTGCGTTTTAGGTGGTGTTTTTTCGCATTTCTTATAGTATTCTTGCATCTTGTGTGCACTTTATCGTACAACTCTTTATCTTGTTCCGCTAGGATTTTGTGATTTCTCCTTTCTTCTACATCTATTTCGCATCATTGTGTCCACCATGTTCTCTTTGAGTGTCGTTTCTTTCTCCATAAGATCTTAGTCTCACCTCTTTAATGAGTCTCATCGGGTCGTTAAACGACTCGGTGTCCCATACGAGAGAGAGAACGTGTCTCGGGTTCGGAAATTTCCCAGCCTTTTCAGTGCATTTTAGACCTCCAAACCCTCAAACCTGTATCGGAGTTCCTGTCGGAAGACCTAGATTTTGCTGGACTATCGAAATTTTGAAGGACCTACACTCTAAAAGCCTGATTGAAAGCAAACTGCGCAGAACAGGGAAGTGTGGCGTGCAGTTGCATCGGAGGCCAAGATCCACTTCGGGTCGCTGAGCCAGCGGAGTAAGTAAGTATTATTTTAGTTTCTATAACCCGACAAAAAATAGCTTTTAAAGTTTTTTAATTGTTGTAACCATGCTATGTACCTGGTTGTGCTTCAGAAGAATAATGCAGAACAATTATTTACCTTATATTTGACACCATACCCGTGCATATACAACAAATAGTCGTGGCGCGGAAAGAGACAGCGTTGTACTCAAGTCAGTGTAACTTAAGTTCTCTTTAGCCGAACAAGAAAGTGCTTTTAGATTTTTGTAGCTATTGCATTGAACGTTACTTTTCTTCTATGTCACTTTTGTTAAAAATGATTATTTTTAATTCTATAGCCACACAAATAAATTATTTGCTGATTTTTTTTTACATAAAGTATTTTAATTACGAAATTATGCTATGTACCTGGTCGTAGTTCAAGACAAATATGTAGAACAATTAATTAGCTTTCATTTGATACCATGCACATGACAATGCAACTTATAGTTTTCAAACAATTTGCAGTTTTCTAAATGCGGCGGCCGCCATCTTGATGACGTCATTTCTGCGGGAGACAGGCCCTCATCAGCTTGTCTCCCGGCGGTTTTCTAGAGCTTATGTCATGTTTATTAACATACTAAAATTTGGTACCGGTATGACAATCCGAAGTATTTATCGGCTAACTTACGGGACAAACCGTAACCACAAAATAGAGAGTTAACAGAAGGTTCACTCAACCTTATTAGGATTTACTACTGTCAAAAATCTCAAAGCTCAATGCACCAAATCAATTCGCCCCACAGTTTACAAAAGGAATAATCTACGCAACTGGCTAAAAATTAAGTAATGCGGAATAAAACTCAATTTATTGGAGTTTTTAATGCACTCACAGTGTTAAATTATTCTCATAAATAGTATTTTGTTGTAAATACTATTACTAGATGATGTCGCTTAATCGTCGCTTCTAGACGAGCATCAGGAGTTTGAGAAATTCACCAGCGTCCACCAGGCGCACGTAGCTCAGTTGGCAGAGCGGTGGGACGGTACCCCACGGTCCCGGGTTAAAGTCCCGGCGGTCGCTAGTGAATTATTCAATTATCTCATTTTCAGTTTATGAAAAGTCAATTTAACGGACATCTCTTATAACGAGCTGACGCGAGCGAGGCGAGGCGAGCAACGCAAGCAGAGTGAGCAAAGTGAGCAAAGTACTCATTATCATAACCTGTGTTATTGACATGTTCTCCAAAAGGCATCAGTTGAATGCAAATGGTATCTCTCATTCACTCGCGAAAACAGACAGTCGAATTGAACCAACAATAATGTGGACGGACGATATTTAAACGAGCTGCAATATTGGCACTTGATCTGCAATACTTGCTGCATTAAAAAGAAGTATTTTCGTACGTTATTAAACAGTTGTGTTAAAGTCTTCATTAGATTTACAGACAATTAATAATTCATTTATTAAAGTAACTGTGATAATAACAGCGCTATTGCAAAAACAAAAACGCGCGTAGGTATGTAGAACCTAATATTATAATTCATTCAACCGTGACGTTTCATTGAATATATTATTTCATTTACAGGGGACTTGATTCGACGTAATCAAACAAATCAACCCTCTTGGCCACAAATGGCCACATGCAGGCTTGTCCCAAAAGCAGAAAGTCTACGTACTACGGATGGTATACGCTGTGGGATCTCATAATTATTGAAGATTGAGTCCAAGGCTCAAATTGCAGCTAGAAAGTTGGGCGTCCTGAATAAAATCAAGCGGTACTTCACGCCTGAACAGCTTCTAACTCTTTATAAAGCTCAAGTCCGATCTTGCATGGAGTACTGCTGTCACCTTTGGGATGGCTCGGCTAAATACCAACTTGCTGCAATGGATTCGGTGGAACGCAGAGCCAAGAGATTAATAGGCGATAAAAAACTGGTGGCGACCAAGCTTCACAGCCTGGCTCACCGCCGCAAGGTTGCTTGCCTATCGGTCTTCTACAGATTGTACTTCGGAGAGTGTGCGCGTGAGCTGCATGAGCTCATACCACCGTCCCCTTTCTTCCATCGGACATCCAGACGCACGGCCGGCTACCATCCGTTCTTAGTTGATATACCCACATTACGCACTAAGCGCTTCAAATCATCTTTCATTATGCGCACGGCTAAAGAATGGAATTCCCTGCCTGCGTCTGTATTTCCGAGTGCATATAACCTGAATCTCTTTAAGTCTAGAGTGAATAGGCATCTTCTGGGCAAGCTCGCTCCACCGTAGATCCCATCTCTGCTCTAGGGTAAGATTGGGGTCAAGAGTAAGCCCATCATAGATAAAAAAAAAGAAGATTGATTTCGCTACCTAGCGTAAAACATTACAAAGCCACAACAACACCATTTAGTCCACCGTTTAAATAAGAGCCAATGTTTAATATGTAAATCTGGTTTTAAAGCGTCACCGTGTTTGATATTTTCATTTCGTTTCGATCGTTGGTCACGGCATGTTTATTGATGAGTGTGACTTTGATTGGCAGACAGACATGATAAAATTTATTCGTCCATGTCGACACTTCATTAATCGGCATTTTAATTTTATTAGCCTAACAATACATAGTATAAAATGATGTCGCTCTTTACGTTTCTCTGTATGTAGTAGAATTCGCTAACTCCTCCTAAACAATGCAACGAATTTAATACGGTTTTTGTATTAGATAAAGTAATCCAAGAGGCAGGTTTATATGTATAACACATGCTGGGAAAATGTCTTTTCCCCGCGGGAAAATGGCTCGCTAGTAATACCTAAACGTCTATCGTAAAAGCAAACTTGGCTAAAGAATCAAATCTCTGATAATCTAGTTGGTTAACACGTGCAGACTACTTCAATTTTTTAAAGTATAAAACGACTTATCTACCTACTTGTTTTGATTTCGTAGAGGGAAAAACGTGTAGGTATGTTTTGATAATTTTGGTTTACTCTACGTCTGTGTTCTTCCGGAAGTCGAAAGATCAAGATCACAGACTCCAGCTTGTCAATATAACTTTTAATTTAACTTTTAATTATTATGTGTCCAGCTTGTCAGTTATTACTTATTGTACGTTGTGAAGACGTTTTGTTATTAAATCACAGTCGTTGTCGGATGCGTATACCTAAACTATAAACACGAAAATAATAGTACCAGGCGACCATCAATCAGAGACGGTTCAGATCGTACGTCGCCGCCGCAAAAACGCCGCGAACAATAGATGGCTCTGTCGTCGTACTCAAGATGGCTGCCGGCTTTTGGCGGGACGCATCGGACCGCGTAATTGACAAAAGATAGTCTTTGTGTAGTGCCGAGAACGGCTGTCCCCGCAACGTGAGGTTTAAATATTGTAAAATTGTGGACAAAATCAGAATTATTGTACATTCAGCATGGGTATTAAAGGATTTCAGGTTACTATTTAGTCTATGGCAGGCAGAGACAGTCGCACATCTAAAAGTACCAAGTATTATACAATACCTATATTTCGTCAGAAAAATACCGCAGATTTGTGCGGCATATGTGACCTTAAATTCTTTGTTTTGACGGAAAATTACCACATATTCTTAGGAACAGATTCCATTATATTCTACCTACACTACCAAGTCCTAAACAATGTGTATCCCGGGTATCCCCACATCCCCAGCAATATTGTATCGAAAATCCATGTAAAACTAATCAAGCCCTGTATCGGTCACTAATGGTCAGTAAGGGTATGGATAAGTATCGCCAAGTCCCGTACAACCAAGGGTCGGTATGGATAAGTTGCCAAGTTCCGTCCAATTATTCTCAGGTCACCGGGTGAATTGGGACTGGCTCAAGAGTTTCCAATACGAGAGTTGCCAGACGTGAAACATGATCTTGATTTCTGGAAGCAGAGATCTCCCCTAAATATAACGATAAAACTAATGCACAGAAAATAAAAATGGCACAAGCTTTAAAATTACGTCATCAATCTATAAGGGATTTAGAAATCAGAAACGATATTACAAAACAGAAGCAAGTTTGAAATAAAATGACAGGGATTAGTTTCTTTTTTCAAAATGTTTAATATAAGTTGAGAATACAACTATACTCTATCCGCGCGATGAAGATAATATAGCGTCCTCTCAACCGCACTTTTGTATGCAAATGAAAGGGACAAATGATTGCCCTTCCAGGTAAGTGGGCGTCATCAATTGTGTAAAAACGTAAAGATGCGTTTACATGGCTCTTTGGTTAAAGAAGTCTCATAAATACTTTTTACTATTATATTTGGTTTTCTTTGGTCTATTACATTATTTAATAAGTAAAAATAATTTTAGGTAAATACATCTGTGTATGTTTTACAGGAAATAGTCCAATACACGCGCTAGGTCGTAGGAGAAATAAAATAATCGATATAAGAACAAAAGAACGCGTCCGCTCCGTGCAAGCCACAGAAGTAGACTGAAATTGCACCGCCATGTAAACGCACCCTTGCCTCGTTATCGCTAACCAATGGCAATCATTTTGCATTTTCTGGTATTATCTTCATCGCGCGGATAGAGTATAGCAGCAGTCGCGCACGCATGGCGTTCCATTTTCCATTTGTGAGATCTTCCCGCTTAAGTGAGAACTATAATGTTGTTATACAGATTTTTAGGTATTTTTCGGGAAGTTTAAACAGCATCTGGCAACCCAGCACCTCGGGAGCTTTGATGTCCGCATCTATTTGCACCTTTGACGCTTTGCGAGTTCTTCCCAGAAAGCTCAGGGAATTCCGGGACCTGAAGACCAATACTAAATGTATTTGCAATAAGGAATGGTATCTACTTTGCTTTATTACACTAGCTATACACATATAGGATGAAATTTTACTAGTGACCGTAAGCGAAAACTCAGAATCGGCTGGTGATAAGGAACATAGGTCGAAATACGAAAAAAATGTTTGGACCTCCCATAGTAACTGAAATCAGCTGATCGACAAATTTGTATGGGAGGTCCAACATTTTTTTTCGGATTTCGACCTACGTTCCTTGGGGAAAATTGTTCCTTATCACCAGCCGATTCTGAGTTTTCTCTATCGAACACTAGTAAAATATCACCCTATATATTTATGAATTTCTCCATTAGAAACTTAACGTAGTCCTCTGTCTAACAGGCTCAGAAAAACACTTTGTCTACTGGTAAACGGGAACAGCAAGCAAAACCGCTGGGTGAGCCTCTAGTCGAAATACCTTAACAGCCACAACAGTCCACTGCTGGACATGGGCCTCCCCCGTATTGGGGGGTATTGCCATACTCACCACGCTTGGCAGGCGGATTGGCGAGCGCAGTGCAAGATGTTTAATTCACAGGGAACATTCCCTGGATAATTAAATTATCCCTTAGTCGCTTTTCACGACACCCAAGGGTAGAAGTGGGGTGATGCTATTCTAGGCCGGCATCACACGGCTACAATATAAGTCGAAATACAAAGGAGCAAAATTGATTTGTGATAGCAAACATCTTTTTATCACATACTTTTTTATTACTTTCTTATTTAGAGTCTACTTAATTTGAGAGCTACTTTTACAATCATAGGATTAGAGGTGTCTCAATGCAAGCTTTATGTTGCAAAGAAGAGAAGAAAATCCTATTTTGAAAACCCTGGGGATCATTACACTAATCTCAATACCAAATTCAATCCCACCAATAATGTTAATACTATTAACTGGATTGCTTTATTGTTGCTATGACAGGATGATTGCGCCATACCACTTCGTTAGGCCCACAAAAAACCTCATAAAATATGAGGAAACCGGGGAAAGAGGGGTTCTGTTCGCAAATTGGCCCCTACACCAAATTACAGAGGGTTGGCCATCGGTGGCAGGCATGCATTATTCCCATGCATCGTTCGTAGGGCTGGCGATCTCAATATCTGGACTTTAGAAATTGTAAGTACAATCTTTATCCGTATCCTATATTAGAATCAATCTTCTAAGAGTTGGCGATCATTTGGATGGAGTTGGAGATCCTTGTTCATGATTCGTACAATCTATATAGTTGAAATAAAACCTATTTCATTTACTAGGTAAACACAATCTTGCTTATAATTGCATCCTGTAAT